GCTCGGCCTGGCCGGCTGGGCTGCGGCGTCCTCCTCGGCCCGGGCGCGTTTGAATGGGCCGGGCGGGACCTCCCGCGGCTGCTTGTCGGCGCCGCTGGGAAGCGCAGCCTCGTCCTCCGCGTCCCTCCCAGAAATCAGTGTCCCCGGGAACAAGAACGGAGTGTGCCGGGCGCTGCAGTCGCGCGACCTCGGTCGGCCCCGAGCCAGACCCCGGCGCGCGTGGGAGAGCCGCGTGGATGCTGGAGGATCGCGGCGGTCAGCCTTGCTCTTGGAGCGCCGGGTCTTCTGCGAGCCCCGGAGAGGCAGTCTGCGCCGTGCACACTTGTGGGCTCATCTGTTAGAACCCACGACAAGCAGGGGTTGTCTGTTCATGATTCTACAAGTCACGTGCAGGGCTTAGATCTAGTGTAAGTAAAAGGACATCGTCTCTTCTGAAGGTGGAGCTCACACAGAGGAAGTAGTGTATGTGCATTATTTTCCAGCTTGGGAAAGACGTGTCCGCATGCAAGGCAGTGAGCAGACTGAGCCTTAGGTGAGAGGCCACCTCCGATGTGCCCTGGCTGGCTGCTTCGCGCGTGACACCCACGCCACCCTGATAGTGCACAGTTCACTGTATCGGAATGTTGTCTTATCTTGTATTTTAGACCGTGTTGGGCTACTCTGGGTTGTGGACATGATATGAAACACACGACTTTTGAGTTGAATAATCTCCCAGGCACTGACTCTTTTGTGACCTTGGAGAAGACCTTTCCATCTTCTGAATTCACTTTTCCTTCTGCAAAAGCATAATGGGTTAGAACCCCAGTAACCTTTTCTAATAACAAATGATCCTTAACCCAGTAATGGCACTTTCCTGGCCCATCTGTAAAATAAGTTATGATCTTGTAATTCACATTTAGTTGCTTTCTTAGCTACCGTGTTTTTGTTGTTGCGGGTGTTAACTTTTTTTTGTAAAAAAGGAAGATTCTTAAATTTTTTTAAAAAAATATATTTGGCACAGGGTCTTACTAATACAGCTTGGACTCTAGTGATCCTTCCTGTTTTCAGCATCCCCAGAGCTGGGATTACAGGTGTGTGTCACCGGTCTAAGATTCTTGAAAAAAGAGAGAAAATGAAGAAAAGGAACATTCTTGGACTTTGGTCATTGGCAAAATGTTTCAAGTTAAATTTTTTGGTGGCTACTGTAAATTCTTGCTGACTTATAGAATGATCCTCATGTTCAGATAGACCTTGGCTTTCCCTGATCCAGCCCACCCACCACCTCGGCAGGATGAGGAAGGAAACCTATCCCTTTTTATTCATGAATTAAGTCACAGTTTGAAAACTGGGAACTGGTTGCTGAGTTCGTCGTTTTAACCTATCTGAAGGAGCCACCTTTTTTCCTCCCTAGTTAATATTTAAGTCTATATCTCAGCAATAATTGATTTTTTTGTCTAGAAGAGTAGACTGCTTTTTCCCCAACTCTCCAGGCTCCAACCCAAATGTACTCAAGATTCCCTGGAGAGAGGCCTGGTGATTTGAATGTTTAACAACTGCTGCAGGTAGAGTCTTCTCAAGCACAAACTCGGTGGCCAGGAGTTGCACCTGAAAGTCGTTGCGGGGGAGGAGGCCTTATCAGCCTGACCTCAGATAGTGTTGCAACCGAAGAATCTCTTGTGTGACCTGAGGCCTATTTATAATCTGCGTTTTTGAATCTTGTGCACATTTACTGCTGAAAAGCCTGGAGTGGGTAATGGTGAATGAAGGTTATTGGTGCTCTGCTGGGTCTGGCTCAGAGAACTGGTGATACATGTTCACCGTTTGTGATTACCTGTGTGTGTGTGTGTGTGGGGGGTCTTACTCTGTAGCCCAGGCTGTCCTTAAACCTTCACTGCTCCTGCCTTAGCCTCTTGAGGGCTGGGATCACAGGTATATGTCACTATACCCAGCTCTATCATTGCTTTTATATCTTTTTTTTTTTTTTTTTTGGTACCGGAAATCAAACTCAGGATCTCATGGTTGTTAAGCAGGCAGTACACCACTGAGCTAAATCCCCAGCCTTGTATCGTGTTTTTATTCACCTTGTACAGATAAAGACTCCCAGATTTAGGGGCCCACGGGGCCTGCATGCTGGTGGAGCAGACATTTGACCCAGGTGCATGTGACTTAGTAGAGCTCCTAATTTTTGCTCTGTGCGTGCTGCTTTCTGGACCTCCTAGCGCCTCTTGAGCACCCAGCACAGGCTGCCTTCTAAGCTTAGAATGAAACCTACTAGAGTGAATTTTCACCTTAGGTCTTTGAAAAGCTAGTCTGGTGTGGCTCAGAATGTCTGAAGTTAGCTTCTTCATTGGGCATTCATTTCAAAGTTTTCATTACGGTTGGTTGAAGTGCTGCTAGGGGCTATAGTATGATAGTCGGAAGGGATTTCTGAGCTATGAGTTTTTTATGGGAAAACCAGTCACCTAGGAGCCCCTTGAGCCCTGTTCCACAGGAGCAAGGTAAAGCCCACGCCACAGAACCCAGAAGTTCAAGTCCAGTAACTTGCAGAGGCCTGACTAATGGTGAACTCTTACTTCCTCCAGGGATATACAGTGTCCATCCTAAGCTCCAGAGTTGCCTTTCACAGAGCCCAACACCACCATGAAATCCAATCCTGCCATCCAAGCTGCCATTGACCTCACAGCAGGTGCTGCAGGTAATCCCAGAGAAAACCTAGTCTTCTGTATTCCTTAAGTACCCTCTCAGCAAGATCCAGGGACAGGGGTATGAAAATATTTCCTCTGTTACCCGGATGTAATGTGCATTAATCTTGGAGCATGTCTATTTAATAGAAGATTAATATTATTCAGAGCATGGCAAAAAGTGATTTCTGTTGTATTAAAACTTTGAGTCAGGGTAAAGTGCTAGGGTGAGAACGTCCTTAGCACTGCTGGGAAATAGCTCAGAGATGCAGTCACTCATCCATTGTCACACAGGTAGAGCTTGCAAGTGACTTTGCACTCCATTCCAGTCTTGGCTATTTTTATGTCCTTTGCAGTACAAAAGCAACACCATGCTGTTTGTATAGGAAATGCTGGCTACTAGTATTTGGTGCCAGGAAGAGAAGGAGGGTCTGTTTTAGTAGGGAGACATATCCACAGTATCATAGAGCCAGGAAGGAGGGACCAAGAGGGGTAAGACTTTCTAGGAATGTTCAGCTAAGGTGAACCCAAGTGCAGGTGGGAGCCAGTGCTGGCAACATGCCAGGCACTGTGTTCGTAGCATTGCAACATAAGCCAGGCACGGTGGTGCGTTTCTGTAATCCCAGCACTGTAATGATTGAGACAGACAAATTTGAGCCCACTCTGGGCGACGGAGCAAGGTCCTGTAGCTCAGTGTAAAGACCCTGGGTTCCATCCCAAGAGCACAAAGAAGAAGAAAAGAAAAAGGCAGGCATACCAAGAAGCTCAGCCTGAAGCTAACCATGGAATTGGACCCATATGGTATGGTAGACTTGTAGTTTTCCATAGTCCTGTGCTTTTGTAGGACCTGGATTACTCAGTTCCCAAGTGAACCTTTTCCCAGCTTCACAGGCTGGACAGGCCAGAGGGCTGTGTTGCCCATTGTGCTCTTAGGCAGTGGGACCCCCTGGGTCAGTAGATCAAGTGCAGTTAAGGGGACTGTCACCTCTCACCCTGTCTTATGTCCAATTTTTTTTAAATCCTTTTTAGAAAACAACCTTTTTCTATGAAGGAAGGTTAGCCAAAATAGCCTAGAGGATGGTTGAGGACAACACGTTATAGATGCTGACAAGGAGCCACAGGCAAGGGCACCGCTCCCAGGTTAGAGATCACAGGAGTGTTCAGCCTGGCTGACAGGCCTGAAGGTTGGCTGGTTCTGCCTCTGCAATCTCTTGCCCTTTGGTCTTGTGTCTTTGGATCAGTCCCCCACACTGCGTGAAAGAGAGCTGCTGTATCCCATGCCTTGGAGCACCACCCCCCCCGGCTGTGCTATGGAAAATGGTGGCTGAGTGGGGTGCAGCCCCTGCCAGCCTCTGGCCTATCACCATCAGGATGCATTCTTGTCTTGGGAGGGTATTTAGCCACAGTGAGATTCACAGCTTGTGGCACTTAATAACTTTCAGTCCATCAAAGATTTAGGCTCTATTATGGTATAGTTAAATAGCATTCAGGTATCTGGATACCATGGTTATACTTGAGTCAGTTTTATTGTAGATTGCACCAGTATTGGTGGGAGCCTGGTGCAAAAGACATTTGTGGTGGGCATGTTTTGCTTAACAGTCACACCATTAGCACATGTCATACATATGGGCCCTTTGTATTCTCACTGACCCTTTCTAGGTGTTTCTCCCAGTGCTTAGCAGCAGAGGGCTGCCCCTTGCTAATGCAGAGTTGCCCTGGCTGCAATTTCCAAAGCCAGCGAGCCCCAGTGCAGGGACAGGGGGCCTAGGTGCAGACTGCTCAGAGGAGGTGTCCATTAGTGACATTTGAGCATCCAGTCTACTGCTCTGTACCTGGAGTGCAAATGGAAAGCACTATTGGTACATTCAACAGTCCCAGTGTCACTTGCTCATATGGGTCCTTTTATGATACTGGAACTTTAAAGCACAAATTTATAGGGAAAAGCTTTAATTGAAGGAGAAAATAAAGGGAAATACAGCTCTTGCATAGACCAAGCCAGTACCCTAATAAAAAAAGAAAGAGCAAATAGGAAAAGACTCCAGCTTGAGTAGCTGGTGAGAGCACAATCTGATACAGGGGCTCAGACTGGTCACCCACATAAATAGACCAGATTTAAGGGCTAGCTGAGGGGGGGGGGCCAGGGTCCAGTCAGTTACTTCAGTCCTAGTTTTTTAGCTGAGGTTGAATCCTCATGACTTGAGGGGCAAATTTGGGTCCACTGGGAAGAATCCTAATGGCTTGGAAGGCAGTCTCGGTCATAGGAGGCTCTGCCGGGTTCTCAGATGACTTAGGTTTAGGACAGTGGAGATTTCTGGGTGTAGCTGAAGGCCCCTGTAAATCTCTTCTGGTTTCTTCCATCCTGAAGGGTAATGAGATAAACTAGGTAACTTTAGGGTTGTTAAACCTTGTTCTGCCATGTTTTATATACTCCTTGAATGACTAGCCCATCTGTATGCAGAGCTGAAAAGAATCTGAGCCACAGTTTCATAAAAAGAAGGTCGTTTTGGTCTACTGTTAGTTGCATATGAGGCATTTGTAGGTCCATTTTAGCAGAAACCACTGTTAAGTCCTTGACTGCCTCAGAAGAAAACACAAATCACACATTTGATGAGTAACAGGTTAAGGGACCAGGAATTTGTTTATTACTTGCCCCTGTGTTGTTTTCTGTCACCAGAGTCATTGAGGGATGGAACTAGATGGACCTTTAGAGATCCCTGGCTCTGATGCTTACTATCTATGCAGAAAAGAATCTCAAAGAGGGACAGTGGATTTGTTCAAGATTACACAGTGAGGTGATGGGAAGCAGGACCAGGATGTTGGTTTCCTTGTCTAGTTTTGTTATTTTGTTGTTGTTGTCTTTTAGACACACCTTAAATGACTAAACTCAGAAAAAATACCACAAATTGTGGCCTAAGGTGGCAGCCTCGTGGTGCCTGGAGGTAAAGGAATGGTTGGGTACTTTCCCTGACCTATCTTTTGGATATGTAACCTGCTAGAGTTTGGGATTTTTCTGCACTTGCCGTAGGAGAGATTCTGGGAGAGGATCTCAAGCCCTAGAGCAGTGGGAGGGAGAATTTGAAGAAGATAGATAATTGAGTAAGTACAGATCTGAGATCAGGAATATCCCCAAATTTCCTTACAAGGAAACCTGGGAAGTACTTTAAGAGTTACATTAACAACTATAACACTGTAACCCAACCAGTGCTCTGCCACCTCCTTTGAATGGGATTATTTAGTATTTATCCTCTCAAATTCCAAAGTGAAAAACAACCAAAACTTTTTTTAGTGAAATGTCTTAAAAATAAAATTTTTCCCTGCTCTGTCGGCGGCGCTCTGCTCCTGAGAGCTGTGAGGCTCACCGGCCTGCGGTCCCTCCGAGCTGCCCCTGCCCCATTGGTACTGCTCTGCCCCATTGGTACTGCTCTGCCCAGACAGATGGCTCTGGGCACTGCGATTCACTGCCTGTGTGACTGTCAGGAGTTGACAGTCTGAATGTCACCCTTGGCATTACGAATGTCACCCTAACTACGGAATGTCACAGTCTGGACACTTTTCCTGTAGAATGAGCAGCACACAACGGTGACATGCGGAAATTCTTTCCATTTGTCTCTCGAAGAGAAAAACATGATCAGAATGCTGGCTTCTGTAAAAGTAGGCGAATATTTGGTGCCTGTAATTATCCTTGCTTATTCATTTAATAAAGCTCTGAGACTCTGCTAGGTGTTGGGCCCCGCAGCTGGTGCTGGTATTCTGAGGAGTCACTCACATGAAGGGGCAGGGTGGTAGCAGGTGGTGTAGGTTACAGACAGGGGAGGAAATTTGCCTTTTGACCTGCACCTTCCCTGCTGGAAGTGGAATTATCACAGATGCCTCACAAAGATGTATTGTGGAGACCTGTGTCTGCCCCTTTCAGGCTGACTGAATGAGTATATGGAAACCACTCATCCATGTATTAGTGTGTTGGATTAACGGCTCTAATTTGTCTGTGTGTACAGTAGTTAAAATATGTAATCTTTTAAAGTTCTTATATGTTTTAGGATAGTTTACTTTGACATACTTTGGAGCTCATTTTATCTTTGCCCAGGAGAGAATAATTTTGAGTTATGACCCTCTCATGTCCACAAAATTCAGGCATGAGGATGATGCAGCATGACAGAGCAGAAGCATATCCTTACAGCCCTAAAAGTGAATGGTAGTGATGAGGTCACAGGAGGCAGACCTTCCGGAGTGCTTAAAAGAACATACCAAATAGTTCTCCAACTCTGCTTTCCCCAACGTAGGTGTTGTCATGTATGATGTGACAGTTACGAAAGCACATTTGTTAAATATTTTATGTAAGTTTTCCTTCCCAATTTTCTTTTTTTTCTTTTTTTCCTGAGTCAAGAAGGGTCTCATATTGTAGTTCAGGCAGGCCTTGAGCTCTCTATGAAATCCATAGTGGCCTCAAACTCTCAGAGATCCTCAGGCCTCAGCTTCCTGGGTTCTGGGATTACAGACGTGCACGGCCACACCTGGCTTCCTTTCCATTCTAGTGAAACTCTAGCGGCAGCAGCGTTTGGTTGCAGCGTCTCCCAGCATAAGCAGGGGCTGTCTGAGATGGAGAAGCATCTCAAGTCTGGGGCTCAGGGAGGGTGGTCAACCTCAAGCAGTGGCTCCTCCCAGAACACTGACCGCAGTCCAGGATCTGGAGCTGTGTCGGGGTAATTGCAGTTCATTCTTAGATGAAGCGATCTACTGCAATTTATGTGGTATTCTCACATATACAAACATGTAGAGACTATGCTGAGGCCTGGTAAACTTCCATCCACTTACACTAAACAAAGACAAGGTTTTGTTTATTCCTTAATGCAAATTATTAATTGGTACGGTTAAAATTAAAAAGGGTTTTTTCATAGGCTCAGAGATTTTGCTCGCCAGGCTTCGCCAGGCTTCTGTTTTCTCTCTGGTGTTCAGCACTCAGTGATTTTTCTGGTAGTTCCCGTATTTTAGGGCATTAGGCAAAAGGGAGCGATTGTCTCTTCCTAGATTGCCCGCCCCTCAGTGTGGCTTCTGTCATTATTTTCCTTCACCTCCACACTCACCCTGGGAAATGGGTGAGAAGCAGATGCTCACAGTGCAAGTTCCCTGCCCGGGAGTCCAGGAAATCGGGCTCCAGCTTCACTCCCATTGCTGTCTCCTAAACCTTTGCAGCTGGGACTTGGATTTGGGGTATATCTCCCCTGGCAAAAGTGTGAGGCCCTTTGCTGTGGGGCTTGAGTGTCCAGCCCCACTGTAGTTGTTTGCTGGACTCAGCTAGGTGGTTTCTGGGGTAACATGGTCAGAAGGAACATTTATTTATTTATTTATTTATTTGGCAGAACCAGGGATTGAACTCAGACACTTGTACTTGCCAGGCAAGCACTTATTCTACTGAGCTATTTCCCCAGACCCAGAAGGAACTTTTAAATTGCCTGGGTAGTTCTCCCGGGGCAGACTACTGTACTACATTCCCGACAGCTGAGGAACATGTATACTCTTGCATACATTCCAGGGGGCACGGCATGTGTACTGACGGGGCAGCCCTTCGACACAATGAAGGTGAAGATGCAGACGTTCCCTGACCTGTACCGGGGCCTCACCGACTGCTGCCTGAAGACCTACTCGCAGGTGGGCTTCCGTGGCTTCTACAAGGGCACCAGCCCAGCGCTGATTGCCAACATCGCCGAGAACTCGGTGCTCTTCATGTGCTATGGCTTCTGCCAGCAGCTGGTGCGGAGAGTAGTTGGACTGGACAGGCAGGCAAAGCTGAGGTGAGTCCGACCTGGTGCCTGTGCTTTTTTAAAGATGTTAATGTTATTGTATGACCAGGCTTTTAATGGTCTTTCTCAGGAAGCGTATTTTCCTTTTTAAAATAAGTACTTTCTTTTTGATGGTGGTGTCATAAGCTGTGAACCTTGGAGAAAGCCTATGCATGATACAAAGGAGAGGGGCCCCAGAGCCTGGTGCTGGAAGGGCCTACCCTGGCAGCCTGGTATCTTTGGGAAGCAGCTTATCAGTTGGGTAGGAGTGCTGCACTAAAGCCACAGATGCAACGTGGGGCCCAAGTTTTAGTTTTCACTTCTTCCTCATGGTACAGTGTTGAGCTTAAAGGGAACCGTGGAACTTTAGGAAGTGTTGGAAGCATCTAGTGAAATGCAGATGAGACCCCTCCCTCTGTTTTTTGCCATGTTCCATCAAACATCAGCATTTGGCTCACTTGGTCTTCCCCAGGATATTATACAGCGAGCAGACTGCTCAGAACGCACTGCCACGTCAGCCTGAGTGCCTGTTGGCCCTCCTGTCTGACAGAGGCCACACCTGCCTTGTTCCTCTCAGGGTAGGCCGTACAGAGGCCACATATGTGCCAGAGCTTGGCAGACCATGTGCAATCTTCCCTTCTTAAACAGTAGCCACCCTGAGGATAGCAACGTGTAATACAAACCATGCTTGAACACCTGACATCTTAGTCTTCTAAATGTGTACTGTTTCTAATGTCATATCAATTATTATTATACCTTTTTTTTGTATTTTAGGGAAGGGTCTACAGGGTGTTCAGGGTCTCACTACTAGATCGGACTTGTATTGATCTGCCTGTTTACAGTCTCCCAAGAGCTGGGATTATAGGCATGCACCTCCACGCCCAGTCTCAATTGCTGTCTCAGTATGCCCCAGGGGTGGGGGGCTGGCATGGCAGGCCTGGGGATGGAACCCCTAGTCCCTGCGCCTGCTTGCAGGTGCTTTAATCAGTTGAGCTATTTGGCCGGTCCCTGTTATACTCTCTTTAAAACAAACTTTTTTAAAAATAATAGCCACCCAGTCTTCAATAATTTAAAATTCTTACAATGGCTTAAGAGTTACAAAAGGCAGTCTTGTGGATTGATTTGGTAGGAATTGGAAACCCTACTGTGACTACAGGGCCCACCTGGCTAATAGCTCTTTGTGTACTAAAGTCTCCAGATACTACACCTACAGGACCCAGACCCATCCTTACAGATTTAGCAGTTCTGTCATGGCAGGTGGAACTTCAAGTCTTAGGACTGGGTACGATGACCCAAGGAGGCAGTATAGGGTGGAGAGGACGGCTGAGCTCTGATGCTGCGTCCCTCGAGCTCCGGAGGGCAAGAAGGAGAGATCAAGTAGAGACGAGCAGGTGTAAACCCACAATGTGTAGCAGCCCAGGATGGAGACTGACAGAGGCATAAGTTTTCTCCCCAGCAGAGGGAGACACATTCTGAGGCCTCAGCCCCAGCTCTCCCTTGGGTCCTTGAGGAGGTTCAACTTGGATGTGAGACTGGGAGGCCAAGAGCACCTGGGTGAGGCTCTGGTGGAAGAAACTGCTGCTGTCCCATGAGTGGAGCACCCTCCAGGCACAGGACAGAGGTGGTATGTTCTTACTTCTCCCAGGCCTGCATCTGTTTTAGCCTACAAAGATTGTGATGCAAGCACTGTGCTTTCTAATGAGAACCACAAAGTATTTTGTAGCTGATTCCTGTCCACCAGCTCCAGAGGACCGTGTCAGTATCCCTGAGAAGGCAGAAAACAGTCTGGGGGCAGTTATGTCATGTGGTGTATTCACATGTTATTTGTTAACACACCCTGCCAGTGTGAACCACTGGTGTGGAACATGCATGACCACCCAGTGGCACCATCCTGCGCTGCCCAGTGGGACAGTCATGCAGGTGCTGCCCGTGGTTGAGAGCCCCTTGGCAATGAGACATGAGTTATGGCCCTGTCCTGAATGGGCTACAGATGCCCTGAGGCTCTTCTGTGAAGCAACCATCTCTTGAACATGGTCGTTCACAGCCCTGCAGTCTTTTCTGGGCCAAGGATCTTCCTTTTCACCCTGAAGAACAGTGTGTGCTGGCGGCTCTTGGGGGAATGTGTCTAAGAGTCGGCTAAGCTCTGGTACGTGCATCAGTCTGTGTGGCCCTCCCTGTGAGGCTGAGCGGCAAGGCAGGTGTGTCATCTCTGGCTTATAGGTCAGGGAACTGACAGCTGTTGGGCACCAGGCTCACCCGTGCCTTCGCTGCTCAGGCCTGCTTTCTGTTAGGCCACATTTGAGGTTCGGGAAGGTTTTGTAGGGTCTAATCCAGAGAGAGGGTTTGTCAAGAGCAATGAAGGGGAAGAACTGCTTGTGAGCAGCTCTTGTGAGTTTCTGCAACCCACTGTAAATATTTGTCTGTTCTGGGCTGAACACGACCCAGAGTGACAGTCTGCTGTGCCCTTTGGCTAGATGGCGCTTACACAGTGGGACATGCAGACCTGATTGGTTGGTTTGTTTGGCTGTGAAAAGTCTGCTGTGTAGATGACAAGTCCTTGATTCTTTCAAAACTCATCTTTGAGTTGCCCTTTCTATTGCATTTCTGTACACTTACACCACACGTAGATCTGGGTGCCTGTGGGCCTTGTTTTGTGTATGGGCAAATGAAGGCGTTTATTAGAAAGCCAAAGTCCACTGCAGACCTGATTTGGCCTCGTCTTTGCCCTTTAGTAAGGTGCTTGGCATTCATTCAGCTCTCTGAGCCATCAGAGTGCTGGAGGTAGAGGGGACATCCATATTTATTGACTGTTACCTTTGTTCTGGCAACTTGGCATGCTCTGGTGGTGACCCTAATTGACAGTTCCCTGTCAGCAGGTTGACAGAGAGTCCCTGAGGGAGGCCAAATACAGATCTACAGGCTGACTGGAAGGCAGCAGGAGTCATCCTGAGCTTCGGTTTTGAACAGTTGAGCCAGGAAGGAATGAGAGGAGAAGGAAGGGGTGAGCTGACATGCATGGGTCAGTTTCTGCGCACCAGGCTGGTCCAAGCTCTGCTCTAAGGTGGGGAGCAAGTCTGCCCTGCAGCCAAGTGGATCCCCCTCCACACCAGCTCTTCTGAGACCTGGATTCTCACCTGGGTTAGCCCCTGGAAACCCTCTTGTATCTGGCCATGGCATCAAGACTAGGCCCCCTGGAACAGGAACCAGGGCCCAGATTGGGGGCAGCCTTGATCTTAAGCAGTTTCGCACTGCAGTGAGATTACTAGAGGGTGTCTGTGTCGGGTTATCAGCTGAAGACTTTTGGGAATCTGAGGGTGGTCTCAGCTGTCCAGGGACAGTGAGAGGCCAAGACTTAATGTGTGAGCAGGGAACCAGTGGTTCTGCTCATGCACAACTGTGGTCTTCCAAATACTGGCAGGACAGGGCCAGCGAGATAACTCAGTGGACTAAGAGCCTGCTTAGGCAAGCATAGGGACCAGGCTTTGATCCCAGGCACCAGGTGCTGAGGTGACCACAAAACTTAGGTGGCACACTCCTGTAATCCCAGCGCTGGAGAGGTTGAAAACAGGAGGATCACTGCAAATCTGAGCTGCGTAGTGAGACCCTATACCAAGTACATTAAAAAAAAAATAAACCCAAACCCCACAAGTGCTGGCAGGTTACCTACAAAACACTATATTGGGCTGGAAGAGGTCTTCTTAGAGGAGCCATCCTGGCATCCAGTTGCTCCTATTCTTGAACTCCTGTTGGATGCTAGTTTCACGGCTGTGCTGTTTTCTTGTCTTGTCTGTCTGTCTTTTTTTTTCAGTGCAGGAATTTTTGTTTAAAAATTCATACTGTGTTTTCATGCGTGGTGGTTGTGTGCATGCCTGGTTGCTCCAGCTTAGATTCTGAGCAGGGAGAGATGGCCTTAGAACCACATTTTAATTGCACTTAGGGTGTAGTACACTGACACAGTAATAGTGTGTGTTTGGGTGGCGCGGGCTTTTCCCCTCTCCAGGTTGCGTAGTCTTCGTCTTGTATGTCGCTGTGTGTCTCGACTTGGAGTCCTGTAGGGTTTGGAGGCTGAAATAGCATTATTTATACCTCTGGAGACCTCCCAGTCCTGGCAGATGTGGAGTCTGCTGAGGTTAATGGTGTTTTCTGAGCACGTTTTCACAGTGGAGAGAAAACTTGTCTGCTGACCCGTTCTGATAAGGGCACTGACTCCATGATGAGGGCCTCACCCACAGCCTCCTAGTTCACACCTAACAAGTAAATCCTCATTTATACCCAGTTGCCTCCCAAGGACTCTTCCTCCAAAACTGTCACATTAGGGGTTATATCTTCAACACAGGAATTTGGGGGAGAGAACCACAAACATTCGGACCACAGCACTGAGCCTGATAAATGGAATCGGTGGGCAGTCAGTCAGGCCTCCATTTGGCGATGTGCCTTCTCTAAGTGCCACTTCTCCAGATGGGAACTGGGTACTGCTGCTTCCTCTCAGGGCCGCGGGCTCCGTAGCTGCATCGGTGCATGCATCCCCCGCCCCTGAAGAAGCACATGCGCTGATGTCTAGCCTTCTCTCCTTGTGCTTTCAGCGACCTGCAGAACGCAGCCGCGGGCTCCGTGGCGTCGGCCTTTGCCGCATTGGTGCTGTGCCCCACAGAGCTCGTGAAGTGCCGGCTGCAGACCATGTTCGAAATGGAGACATCAGGAAAGATAGCCAGAAGCCAGAAGTAAGCACTGTTGAGGCACAAACGTTAAGTCTGTTGCCTTTGTTTTTTTCTGTTGCCTTTGTATGTTGTGTTTCAAATTTTATATTAAAATTAAAGAGCAGAAACAGATGGATCTGCTGTAAAGTATTGTGTTTCTCCTACCAGTCACAGGTTCATTTTCTGAAATGAGCATTGAGTGCAGGGAGGTTCACTCAGCACCCACCCTGCGGGCCATCGGAAGCAGAGTAACACCCAGAAATGGTGCAGCCTGGAGCTTAGCACCCCCTTCCCTTGGGTCAGAGGCAATATTTGGAGGTGCACAGTAGGCAGCTTTTGAACTGGCTCTGTCAGCAGGGCTTCCTGAGTACTGACCTGAGTGCTGTGATGAGTATTCGATGCCTATTCCGAGGCTTTGTACCCCTTCCCTCATTTCTCAGATGTGCTCGCCAAGGGCCTGTGTTCTGAAAACGTTCTTCAAAACCCTCATCAGCTCACAGCTGTTCTTCAGTGATGAAGTCACCCTCCAGCTCAACCCTAAGATGATTTTCACTGATGTATTAGATCGTTACGGCTGTATCTGGCTGTCCCCCAGAGCCTCATGCAGTCGTGGGGGCAGGCTTTGCCGTGGTGGCTGCATCTATAGTGTGCTATGCTGCGATTAAGGGTGCAAGACCAGTTCGCTGATTGGTTTGGCAGCTGCCTAATCCCAGCAACCTAGATAGACTATAAAAGGGGCAGGAAGACATTATTAAGGTTTGCTCGTTGCTTTTGCTATCTTTGCTGCCATGAACTGTTGCCCCTCTGCCAAGCCTCCCTGCCTTGGAGCCAGCTGATTGTGGATCGAAACCTATACAAACTGTGAACAAAATAAACCTTTCCTGCCTTAACTTTGGGCATCAGGTATTGTCTCAGCAATGAGAAAAGAAACTAGAACAGAGATATATTGAATTGAAAAGCAGCTTGTGACCCTTACTAATCGTAAAACTTATTTATGTTGCTGTGAGCCTGCTGGGAAAGCCATTGGGCAGATTTCTGAGTCTCCTCCCAGCCTGAGCGGGCTTTATAATGGTGCCTGCTTTCTGCAGCCTTGTGATTCATTCCAGTCGCTTGTATCTGTTCTTCATTGTATGGAGAGAAGTCCCCAAGTGAAGGCCGTGTAAGCTTTTCATTGAAATGTAAATTACACCAGTGTCAGGGATGCACACACAAATCCTAAATGTGCGATTCTGTACCTAGTCGCAGAATGAAGAACCTTTGCATCATGTTGCTAAATTAAGAAATAGAGTAAAACATGAACACTACCCAGAAAACTGCCCTCAGGTGCCTCAGTAGTAGCTCAAGGTAATTTAAAGATAGTTATCCATAGGATTTAGATAGACATTTTGCCAAAGAGGTCAAAGCTGGTTGGCTTGGGATTTGAGGTGCATCTGTCAGTGTATGTGATAGCTTAGGCTGGGCAGGCATTGCAGCTGCTGCATGTGTGCCTGTGCGCGTGCGTGGGTGCGTGTGCGTGCGTGTGTGTGTGTGTGTGTGTGTGTGTGTAATGGGAGCAGTGCTGTCCAAGCATTCAACCAACTAATACCCAGTGGAGCCCTCAGAAGCTCCTGGAGAGAAAATCATCCCTTGTGGTCTTTGTTACTATAGGGCTTGAGCCTCCTCCTCTCCTAGCCAAGTCCCCTTTTTTGAGAACAAAGTGAGAGGGAATTCACTAAGTTGCACCAAGTATGCGATTTTTCTCCCTGTCCACTATGGGGATAAAACCTGCTGTGGGCACCATCACGAAAAGAAAGTCTGCTCTCCACAGCTGTGCTGTGCTCCAGCTGTTCCTGGAGCAGATTCTGAGCTGTTTTAAAGGAAGTTCCCCTATGCCTCAGCTCTCTAGGGACTCAGTTCTGGGTGATCTCTGCATGACCAGAGCTGAGCTCAGCTGTCAGAATTTGTGTAGCCTTCAAGTAACTTTTGCTCATTCATGTCACGGCCATCAAACAGAGCAGCAAAAACGCCTGAATAGATTCTCCAAAAACACCTTAGACTGAAGAGGTGGGAATCTGAGGGAGAAAAGGCCCTGGGAAAACACACTGCTGCCGCCTTCTTGCTCAGTTTGGATGACTCCATATTGTAATTTCAGATTTCACTTATTTACTATGGGAAGCATGGGGCATAGCTCTTTTTGTATTTATGGGTAAATGTGTTGTAGCTCATGTGTAGCTCCTTACAGTCCTAGCTTAGTCCTCTTCCAGTGTCTCCTCTTGGAGTTATACCTGATTTTATTACCTGTCTTCATACGAATCCACTGAGGAAGGGGGCGATTCTACTTTTACTTCTTGGCCAGGAATCGTTTGATTCTGAAAGTCTTGTGAGAAGACATGGTTAGGGTAGGAGGGGAGAGCATGCACTCGATGGTGTACTGAAGCAGAAGAGCTAAAATTTTCTTAAGACTAACTTAGAAATACTTTTGCAGGGCAGGCAAGATAGCTCAGTGGACTAAGAACCTGCTTAGACAAGTGCAGGGGCCGGGGTTTGATCCCTGGCACCACATGCCACACTGGTCCCACCCCTGCCCCTGAGTGCGCTGAGCCAGTGACTGGGTATGGTGGTGTGTGCCTGTAATCCCAGCACTGGGGTGGCTGAAAACAGGAGGATCACCACAAGTCTGAGCTGTGTAGTGAGACCCTACACAAAATTAAAAAAAAAAAAAAAAAAGTAAAACAACAACAGAAAGAAATACTTTTGCTTAACATTTTTCTTTCCTATCAAAGGATGCCGTTTATTAGATTTCCTGGCTTCTATTCACAACATCAACTACTTCTCTACTTGCACTTGACCATGTCTGTTTGTTGGGTGTGAATGTCCTTGTCCTCTCCCTTCCCTGCCTGTACTAACTCTGTCTCTCTGTATCCTCCCAGTACAGTTTGGTCTGTCGTGAAAAGTATCCTTCATAAAGATGGTCCCTTGGGCTTCTACCATGGACTCTCAAGCACTTTACTCCGGGAAGTACCAGGCTATTTCTTCTTCTTTGGGGGCTACGAACTGAGCCGATCGTTTTTTGCGTCAGGGAGATCAAAAGATGAACTAGGTAAGTATGTTTTCATCGGCAGCCTGTAGGTATGATAGGGTCTGTTTCCTGACAGTGTGATTTCTGTGAATTATCTTTTCTGTACTCTCCCTGTGGGGGTCTCCTCAGCCCTGGAAAGTTCTGGATGCTGGAAAGTGATACATCAGCAGGAGATTGCCAGCAATCCTTTCCCTAGGCCTGATAATTTCCTTAGAACAGGGAGCAAAGCAATGTACCCAAACTTCTTTACTGGAATAACATTTATTGATTATTCTGGATTCATTTTAGAGAATTAAAAAAATTACTTTTCCTGTTGAAGAGCCCCCTATAAATCTTGTAGTAATCATAAAATATGGTAATAAGTCTTGACAGTGTTTTGAGAGCAGTGAAATGCACACATCTGACTTGCCCTATTCAGCTGCTTAACACAACTTGACAGTGTTGACTGACACAAGTGAGATTTAAGCATCTCACCAGTGTGTTGATCTGTTATGCAGTTCATCAAGCTCCCAGATTTAATGGATATGTTTAAAGAAGACAGTGTTAGTTTTTCATGGTAAAGGAAGAATTGGGGCTTTTGGGCATTAAAATATTTACCTAAGGGTGAGATGGCTGAAAAAGAAGTGGCTGTTTCGGTGGCTCCTCATTCACTGTGGTGGGGCATTGCCCTGTGGAAGCCAGCTGCTCTGTGCTGACCAGGTGTTGACCAGTAGGATGGGGGCAGCGGCTCTGGGCAGCCAGCCTGAGCACAGCCCTGTCTAGGGCTTCTTGTCCTGGGAAGGCCCAGGCGAGACATGACCACTAGAAGGAACCATGTATTCTTGGTTTTGACAGTTTTCACAAAGACTTGCAGCCTGTAGCATTAGCATTTTAGTTTCCATCTACCTGTGACTACTGACTTCTGGAAATGTGACATCAGCTATTTTTTTTTAAAACATTTTTTAAAATTTTTATTTGTGTGTGTGTGTGGGTGGGTGGTGCCAGCTCAGCCCACCAGGGGGCGGGGCTGGCTGGCATGTGGTGCTGGGGGATTGAACCGTGGTCCCTGTGCTTTGCTAAGCTTGTTCTAAGTAGGT